GGGAGCTCTAGTGCATTGGTGCGTAGAGAGCTGTGCTGTGAACCCAAAGGTAGGCAGTTCAGATTCACCAGCTGCCTCTGAGGTATCTACCTCCATTACCCCACTCACTGAGCCAATCCATCACCTCTTCTCCTGTACTGTCCCTCTACCTTTCCAAACACAATGTCCTTTGCCAAGAACTTGTCCCTTCTGTAAAAGTATGTAAGATGGAATGCCAAAATCCTTACCTCCAAGGAGCAACTTCATTTTACTCTGTCCAGGACAGACCTGTTTGTTCTCTTAGCAGTTCATGTTATGTTCAATAGCCTTCTCCAGCACCACAGCTCAAAGGCTTCTGTTCTTCTGTCATCCTTAGTCATTTTCCAGCTCTCTATAATTGCAAGACCATGACCTGGATCAGGCACATCTTAGTCTCTAGAGTGACATCATTGCTCTTAAGCACTCTGGAAAGATCCCAGACAGCAGATTTCCCCAATGCAATTGGGAAATTACATTTTTGTCCTGTTAGTGTCATTATTGTTTTTGTTATTATTGTTATATGCCACCAAGTCACCTGCAACTCATAGTAACCCTATATACAATAGCTTTGAACCCTGCCCTATCCTGAGCCAATCTCACTGACTCCAGCACACCTAATCCCACTGCTCCACTTACCGTGTCAATCCATGTCATCTGGGGTCTTCTCGTACACTGTCCCTCCACCTTTCCAAGCATGGTGTCCTTCTCCCAGGACTGGCCATATTCCCAAAGTATGTGAAATGAAGCTTCAAAATTCTTGCCTCCAAGGAGAAACTTGATTTTGCTCTCTCTAAGACAGACACATTTATTCTTCTGGAGGTCCATGGTATGTTTAAAATTCTTCTCTGACAACACAACTCAAAGACATCAATTCTTCTTCTGTCATCCTTAGTCATTGTCCAGCTCTCTGAAGCATAACGAAGACCATGGCCTGGATTAGGTGCACCTTATCTATGTCTAGACTGACATCATTACTCTTTAGCACTTTGAAGAGATCCCTGACAGCAGACTTCCCCAAAGCAATTTGTCTTTTGATTTCCTGACTGCTAGTGCCAAGAATGTTGATTATGGAGCCGAGCAAAATGAAATTGTTAACAACATCAATCTCTTTTCCATCCGTCATGGTGCTGCCAATTGGCCCAGTGGTGAGAATCTTTGTCTTCTTGATATTAAGCTTGAATCTATATTGAAGACTACAGCTGTTGACCTTCTGCAGCAAATGCTTCAGGTCCTCCTCAATTTTAGCAAGCAAGGTGGTGTCATTTGCATAATACAGGTTGGTGACGAGTCTTCTTCCATTTCTGATGCCACATTACTCCTCATAAAGCCCAGCCTCCTGAATGAGATGTTCTGTATATAGATTGAAAAGGTATGGAGACAGGATGCATTCCTGGTGTACAGCTTTTCTGATTTTGAACTATGCAGTGTTTCTTTGCTGTGTTCTGACAACTGCCTCCTAATTCAATTATAGGTTTCTCATGAGCACAATCAGGTGTTCTGGGATTCCCATTCTTCTCAGAGTCAGCCACAGTTTGTTGTGGTCCACACAGTCAAATGCCTTTGCATAGTCAATGAAACACATACATTCCTCTGGTTCCCTGCTTTCAGCCAAGATCCATCTGACACTGACGATAATGTCTTTAGTGCCACAGCCTCTTCTAAACCCAGCTTATATTTCTGGTAGTATGTTTGTTTCTGAAATAATTGTTAATTTTTATTTTTTCTTGTTTTGTGCTGTCAAATAGGATCTGGCAGGCACAGGACGAAGTTGCCCCTCCTTCTCCAGCAGAGCATCTGGTGGATTCAAACTGCATGCCTTTGGTATTGCAGTGCAGTTTCTTGTCACTAGGCCACCAGAGCTCCCTAATAATTGGTAAAATTTGCCAATGAATCCCTCTGAGGGTTTTATTTATGGAGGGTTTTTTCTTACCAATCCAATCTCGTGTCCATGTGACCTCTAGATTGTACTCTTCCATTCAAATTGTTGATAATCTGTAATTTCCCTAGTTTTTTCTTGCTAGCAGTTTATAAATTTTATTAATCTTTTCAGAACTAGTTTTTGGCTTTGTTGATTTTGTCTATTGTTTTGTGTTCAGTGATTTTTTTCCTTAATTCCCTTCCTTCCACTTACATTGGGTAGTATTTGATACTCTTTCTAGTTTTATAAAGTGAGAATTTACATAATTTATCCTAAATCTTATTTTTTATATTTCATTGTGATTTTAAGGAACGTTTACAGAAAAGCTGGATTTTCATTCATTCTCTGTTGCACACTTTCCTGCTTCCCCCAGTCCACTTCTCAATGCACCTCCTGTTCTTAATTTTTGTCTTCAGTCTTTTTTTAACTGTTTCATATATTCATTTAAAGCTATACATTTCCCTTGAATTACTACTTTTGTTTTGTTCCACAAAATTGGACATGTACATTTTTATCATCATTCACTTCAGAATATTTGCTCATTTTCCTGTGACTTCTTTTATCTGTGAATAGTTTAGAATTATGTTGCTTAATTTCAAATTATTTGGGGCTGTTCTACTTATCTTTTCCTGACTGATTTCTAATTGAACTGTATTCGAGTTGGTAACATACTCTGTGTCTCTCAGTCACTTCAGCTTCGCCAAGACTCATGTTCGAGACTGAGCGTAGCTCTGCTTGTCTCGCTGACAGTGTGTGCTGGACCTGTCCCCCTGCCTCCCAGGGGGACAGGAAGCTGCCTCTTACTCCATTGTGTGTTTTTAGCCCTACTTAGTCCTCAGCCTGTGATGGACATGTAGTCTGGTCCCAGTTACTGTTTGTGACAGCTGGTTCTATAGGGAGCGACTTGTCTGAATCTGTGGGGTGGCTGTGTGTCTGTCTGCCTGTGGTAGACTGTGTGGGGAAGGCCAGGTCTCCTCATGGACCCCACTACATCCCGCACTAGAGAGAGTGGGCAAGCACAAGTGGGGTGTCACATTAATGCTCCAAGTGTAGCAGCAGACATCTCCGTGTCGTCAGTAAATAGAATTGGTGAAAACAGAAACACATGTGACAAGTGGGTCTATTTCAATTATGTCATTGAATGAGAATCCACTCCATTTTCTACATTTGAAATTTACCTGTTTTTCTGTGACGACAAGTGGGTCTATTTCAATTATGTCATTGAATGAGAATCCACTCCATTTTCTACATTTGAAATTTACCTGTTTTTCTGTGACCTTTCTGCTCACATCCTGCTTTTTATATATTCATTCATTGATGTCTTTGATTATGTATGTTAATGTGATTATATTTCACAAAATTATTTACTTGTTTTTTGGGGTTTGGGTCTTTGTTGTTTTGGGTTTTTTGTGTGCATGTACCATCAAATGAGATCTGACTGGTACAGAAGATTGTCCCTCCTTCTCCATCAGAGCATCTGGTCGATTCCATCTGCACACCTCTGGGATTGCAGTGCAACTTCTTGCCACTAGGCCACCAGAGCTCAAAAATTATTTACTTTTAACAAAGTAAAACTTTAACACAGTAAGAGCTGTAAGTGTAATGTGTGGTCTTTTTATGTACTAGGAGAGTTGACCACTCATCACAGCTCTTATCTTTTCCCACCAGTTTCACTTTGTTAATATGACCTCAGGGGTTTTTTTTTTCTTACCTTCATTCATCGTCATTGAGTCAGAACCAACGCATAGCAGACACTCTGCTGGGTTTCCGGGTCAAAAACAACATGGATGCACAAGGATCCTGCTGGTGGATTTGAACTTCCAGAGAGGCATGGCCTCTGGGCTTGCAACTCAACTCCTAAAGATTAGGCCACAGTTTCCACCCCTACTTGTTGTTGTTATGTCCATCAAGTCCAAACTCAGTCACAGCTGACCCTGCAGCAAGTTTCAGGAGAGGCTCACACTGGAAAAGATTGGCCATCTTTCTCCCGTAGTTTCAGCTGCCTGCCTCTATTGTGGTGCCAGTCAGCTCCTTACCCACTAAGCCAAACGGACTTCCTTCCCAGGAGCAATTTAAGTCAAGTTTATGGGTATATTTTTCCCAAGGTGTTGAGTTTTCTTTGCGGCTTAGAACCATTTGCTGGTGAAGGAGCCTCCCAAATGCAGCAGTGGGCCGGCTCCTCTCTGCAGCCGGGGGTGTGTTTTGCAGTTAGGACTTTGGCCAGGGTTGGATCCAGTGGGCCCAGCATGGCTTCTTGTGCTGATTCTGCCTGAGAGCTCTCAGCAGATACATGGGGAGTGTGGGCTGGAGGAGGCTCATCTCCCTCCTGATGGGTCAGCCTGGACAGAGCAGAGGGGATACAACTCACAGGGAAGACTGTCTGGGCAAGGGTCCCATGGCAGCCAAGGGTCCTGTGGCCAGCTGAGGGACCCGTGGTCTGCTAGGCAGAGTCCTCTGCAAGACATCAGGATATGTAGGTATACACCTGGTCATGGAGCCTGTTCTCAAACAGACCCTGGGAGACAGCAAACTCAGCACATCCAGGGCTTGCTCCATGCAGTGACCACAACTGTGATGGACAGAGAAGTCATGTACAGTATCACCTTGATGGCGATAAAAAGACATGCAGTCAGCTCGGGTATGCAGACCAGGGAGGTTTGCTGATCAGCACAGGCCACATCCCAGTGAATCCACAGGGCGAGAGCAGGACTTCAGGGAGGACACAGGCCAGTGGAGGCCCAGCCTGGCCAGGACTACGGGAAGCTGGTGTTCCCAGGCCAGCGGCAGGGAGAGGAGGAGCGTGGGCAGTGGTTTTGGAGCTCAGTCACCTCGGATGTTTCTAAGATTTATCAGGGTCCAGCCAGGCCCCACAGACACCCTCCAAGCAAGGTCACATCACTGAGCTGCAGCTGCGTTCTCACACTACCCCAGGGTGGTGCTGTGTCCCCTATGTCCCCACTCAGATCCTGCGGAGTGGGCAGGGCCCCTAGGGGAGGTACATTCCCTTGAGCCTGGGGGAGCCAGCATGTGGAGGCCCTGCCCAGCACCAAACACCTACCCCCAGCACCTGGCCACATTCATCATGGACAAGAGCGAGGCCATTGCCTCTGTGGAGGACGCCATCCGGAAGCTGGTGCAGCTGAGCTCCAAGGAGAAGATCTGGACACAGGAGATGCTGCTTCAGGTCAATGACCAGTCACTGCGGCTGCTGGACATTGAGTCCCAGGTGTGTGGGGGCAGGGCCCTGCTTTCTTTCAACCAGGGAAACAGGGGTCTCAAAGAGGTCAAGGTCCAAGGAACTGTGGGGGCCAAGATGAGTACCGGCTCTGACCATGTGAGCCTATCCACCCTGTGCCAGGACCAGCGCCTGGCTGTGCTGTCCGCTGTGGCTCTTCCCTGTTGTGGCCATAGTGCACATCCTGCTGTGTCCCTCTGCTGTGCCCATGTGTTACCTTTTGATCTCTGCTCATGATGCAAACCTGTGGATCTGGTCTACAAGCTACACCCATGGCCATGGGACCGTGCCCACTAGGGGGGTCCATCTCTGTCCAAGGTCTAAGTCTCTGCCCAGTGCCAGCCCACATGCCTGACTTTTGCCCACGGGCTCCCATCCCCCGCGCAACCCTCCCACCCAGCTCCCCCTTCTTCCAAGGTTGGCATCGCCCACATCTGCCCCTTCCCACTCAGCCTAGCCCCCTCCGTCTGACCTCCCCATGCCTAAGTCGTGGGTTGGATCGGTCTTCCGAGCCCCTTAAGTGCACGTCGGAGCCTCGTGGCACAACCCGCGTCCAGCGCCCCTGTCTGCCCCCAGGAGGAACTGGAGAACTTCCCGCTTCCCACAGTGCAACACTGCCAGACAGTGCTCAACCAGCTGCGCTACCCGTCAGTGCTGCTTCTCGTGTGTCAGGACTCAGAGCAGAACAAGCCTGACGTGCACTTCTTCCACTGCGACGAAGTGGAGGTGAGCGCCTGCAAAGCCGCAGGGTGGGGGGGGGGACCGCGCCCTGGCCCCGCTTCCACTGCAACGAGGTGGAGGTGAGCGCGCGCAAGGCCTTGGGGTGGGGTGGACCACGCCCTGGCCCTGCTTGGCTGTTCTCCGGACCTGGTCTCCACAGGCCGAACTGGTGCACGAGGACATTGAGAGCGCGCTGGCCGACTGCCGCCACGGAAAGAAGATGCGCCCGCAGACCCTCAAGTAGGGAGAGGTGTGGGGGTGGGGGCGACAGAGGGGGCACCGGGGCTGAGAGAGGGAGGCCTCGGGTGGGAGGGGCAAGAATGGTGTGGGAGCCTGTGGATGGGGTACGGGGTGTGTCAGGTTTGGGAGGGGTCAGAAGTTGTACAGGGTCAAGCTGCACCGAAGGAGTCAGCTATGGGGAAGGGTGAGGTTTGGAATGGCTTTGTGGGGTATGGGGTGAAATCAGCCTGGGCTGGAGAGGTCCATGCGAGCCAGGAATTCTGCAAGCTGTCAGGTGTGGGGCGGGGCCCAGTATGGGGCGGGGCCTGTTGAAAGAAGACAGGATTGGTGAGAGGGTATATCGTGGGCGGGGTCTAGGTTGTGGGCGTGACCACGTGTGTGTGGGCCTGTGGGGACCACGTGTGGGTGGAGCCTGGATAGGTGGGAGGAACCACGTGTCGGGCGGAGCCTGGGTGGGTGTGCGAGATGTGGAGAGTGGTCAGTTATGGAATCAGGCATCAGGCATGAATGGGACCTGTGACTGGGTAAGGGGCCAGAGTGACTGGTCAGGATCAAGTATTGACTGGGAGCTGGGATGGGCAGCCGCGAAGCCAGGTCTTTAATGCCACTCCAGGGGCCACCAGGAGAAGATCCGCCAGCGGCAGTCCATCTTGCCCCCACCCCAGGGCCCGGCGCCCATCCCCTTCTTCCGCCAGGGCGGAGGCTCACCACAGGCTACCAAGAACCGCGTGGGCCCGCCAGTGCCGCCCAGCGAGGCAGGTAGGCCAGGCGGTGGAGGGCGCCCACATTATGCCCTTGAGGCCCGTGGCTCTAGCCTGACACCCCTTTGGCCGCTGCTCTGACCCCTCGTCCAGGCTTCCGCCGTCGGGAATCGCTGGACGAGGAGCCTCGGGCCGTGCTGGCGCACAAGATCGAGAAGGAGACGGTGGGCACCCGCGCGTGGCTTGGTGGGCGGCACATGGGGAGTGGGTCCTCAGCGCCTTACCCCACGAGCCAGGGACCCAGACTCCCTAGGGATGGTCGGTTGTGACCCGAGCCCGCTCTGTCGCCAGCAAATCCTCAATTGCGCCCTGGATGACATTGAATGGTTCGTGGCGCGGCTGCAGAAAGCGGCCGAGGCTTTCAAGCAACTGAACCAGAGGAAGAAGGGCAAGAAGAAGGGCAAGAAGGGGCCTGCAGGTGGGCACTGGGGGACGCGGCGGGGTCGGGCAGGGGCCAAGCAGGACAAGTCACACGGCTCACAACCCCTCTCCTGCCCAGAGGGTGTCCTGACGCTGCGGGCCCGGCCCCCCTCCGAGGCCGAGTTCATCGACTGTTTCCAGAAGATCAAGCTAGCCATCAACCTGCTGGTGGGTGTGGTCACCCATGCCCGCCCTGCCCCTCGCTAGCTGTCCACGGGTCACTTGTCCCGCCCACCGCCAGTCCTCTGCAGCCCCTTCCCGGCCCGGCCGGGGCTCTGACCGCGGGCGGAGGGTCCAGGGCCTGGCGCTCTGCGGACGGCGCTCACGCCTGCCCCCAACAGGCCAAACTGCAGAAGCACATTCAGAACCCGAGCGCCGCGGAGCTCCTGCACTTCCTCTTCGGACCCCTGGAACTGGTGCCTGGGGCTGGGGCCGGCCCGGGGGAGGGGCTGGGTTGGTGGGCATGGGCTGAGGGCGGCGGGATTCTGGAAGGGTCTGGGCACCCAGGGAGGGTGGAGTGGCAAGGCCAGGCTCCGGTGTGTCCCTGCCCAGTCCCTTCCCAGAGACAGGTGTGGAGGGCGCAGGAGTGGAGTCTAGCCGGCAGGGACTCTTCTAAGAAGCCTCCGCTCCGCCCCAGATCGTCAACACTTGTGGAGGCCCGGAAATCGCGCGTTCAGTCTCCAGCCCACTGCTTTCCCGCGACGCAGTGGGCTTCCTGCGAGGCCACCTGATCCCCAAGGAGATGGCCTTGTGGGAGACACTGGGCGAAGCCTGGACACGCCCTCGGTACAGCAGCTCGCAGGAGATGAGGGCAGGCAGAGGACCCTCAGAGTGGGGGCGGGGAGCAGGGGAACCAGCCAGAAGAGACCTGGCAAGGTCAGCTGACTCCACACCTGGTCCACAGCGCTGAGTGGCCAAGAGAGCCACAAATGCCCATGTACGTGCCCAAGTTCCACAACGGTTGGGAGCCGCCCCTGGATGTACTGCAGGAGGCGCCCTGGGAGGTGGAGGAGCTGGCAGCTGCACCTGAAGACGAGGTCAGCGCCCCACCAGGCCGGACACAGTCTCCACAACTGTCCCCCTGGGCCCCGCCACACTTGCTGTCCCAGTGGCCTCACAGACACACTCCAGACTGCCCTCTCCCGAGCAAGACGGCCCCACTCACACGTGGCAGGTCTCTCACCCAGCACAACTGTCCACTTCTGTCTTATACCCTCACATCCCAAACCCAGCCTGCTACCAGTCTCCAGGCTTCCTCCCTACCTCCAGCCCAGACCTTCCATTTTCCCCACAGCCCAGTCCAGTGAGCAGAATGTCCTTTCGAAACTCACAAAAGCACAGCCTGGCATCTGAACCCACAGCCCCAGGGGACATCAGCAGCCTCCATGCTCACAGGTGAGCTCTGGTCCTGGTGTGGGGGTGGGCACATGCAGACCCACTGGGCTATGCCCCCCCAGGTCGGGTACATGCAGACCACTGGGGTACAGGGGTACTTACAGGCTCACTGGAGTAGTCTCCCAGGTGGGGTGCAGGCAGAATCACTGTGTTACCCCCTATATGTGGGGTACACGCAGACTCACTAGAGTACCCCCAGGCAAGGTGCCTGCAGTCTCACTGGGGTACACCTCCACCAGGTGGGATGAACCCTGTCAGGATGCTGGTCTACCAGCTCCAGCCTGGTTCTCACTCCCTGCGAGACAGGCCAGCCCAGGAGACCCTGGGCTTGGTGACAGCCAGCACGTGGCTGTTGGGGTTCCCATGGGTGTGCAGGTTATGCTGAGATGATTCTAAGTGTACTTAGAATCTCACGTGCAGATTCTCTGGCACGTGCTGTGAGAGTTCCCACAGGTGACACAGACAGGAGGTGGCCTCGGACCTTGGACAGATGCCCAGGCTGGGTCGCCACAAACCTTCATTTTGTTACAAGAAAACAAGCATGCCCCTTACTTCCTTCCAAGCAGTGAGCAGGTTGGCCCAAGTCCTCACGCTCACTCGCCCCCTCACATCTTCACATGTGGTTGGTCTACCATCAATCTCAGATTCACTGGAGCACTTAAAATGTCATGTGAGCAAGCGTCTCGCCAGCTGTGGGGGCTGCTCTAGGAGAGGGTTGATGCAGCCCGCACACCATTCCACAAATATCACACAAGGAACAAACCCAGAGCCAAGGAGTTTCAGTCCCTCCTCACCCCTCACACCCACTGGGGACCACCCAGGGACTGATTAGTTACCTGGCCACATCCCCTTTTAGAGGGAAAGGGGTAGCTGGAAATAGACATTTTTTTCTGATTTTATTTTATTATTTTTTTGTGTGTACCATCAAATCAGATCTGACTGGCACAGGAGGAGATTGCCCCTCCTTCTTCAGCAGAGCATCTGGTGGATTCGAACCACGTACCTCTGGGATTGCAATGCAGCTTTTTGCCACTGAAATAGACATTTTTAACTTTTTTTTAATAGACATTTTTAAAAAAACACAAGCCTTGGGCACTGCCCTGGCACCCAGCACTGCACTTCTGCCCTTTGACCTCTCCACCTTTGTCCAGTCCTCAGTCAGGGCCCCACCCTGGGACCTCCCTGGATGAAGGAGTGGCAAGGAAGGTCCTGCTGGGTTGGTAGCCAGAGATGTGCTCTGTGCAGGGACACCCACAGCCACGCCCTCCCACCCCATGTCTCTGCAAGGCTCCTCAGAGAAGCATCTCTGTTTTTAATGCACAGAGGGCTTTTTACTCTGTCCTTTCCTGGCCTCTGGAGCCCCCACTCTGCCAGGCCTGGAGTCTCAGAGGTGACCCGGGTCCATAAAGTCCCTGTAGCCCGCCTACCTTGTGCCCGCCTGCCCCCCTCCTGCCAGCAGGGGCCCCAGACACACTGACTGGCACAGTTTCCACTTCTGGCTGTCAGAGCCTGGGCAAAGGCTGGCTGGGTGCTGGAAAGTCTTCCGCCCTGCCAGGCTGCAGGCCTTTGAGGAGACCCCCTATCTGCTCTCGTCTCAGCCTCTCCTGTCCCAAACAGGGGCTACGACCCAACGCCCAACATGGGCAAGTACGTCAAGATCCTATATGACTTCACGGCCCGGAATGCCAACGAGCTGTCTGTCCTCAAGGATGAGGTCCTGGAGGTGAGGGGCCGGGGCCAGGGAGGGGACTGCCCAGAACTGGGGGCAATGCTGGGGGGCTTGCAGAGTCTGAGAGAGCAGAGGCTCACTGACTCCTCTTCCAGGGTCCCTATCTGGGACTCTGCTCTGGACCACCCTTCAACCCTTCAACATCACTGGGGCTCTGGCTGGGGGAGTAGGGAGGGCAAGTGCCTGGTGGGGATGGCCCCTTGTTGGAACTCCATCTGCACCTACCCAGGGCCCCTCCCCAGTACTACCATTTGGTGCCAACCTTGAATCCAGGCCATCTGCCTAGGAATAGAAAGTGGAGCAGGCTTGAGGGCGGAGCGGTCTGGATCAGGGCACCTGGCTGTCAGAGGTGCATAGATGCTGCTGGGGGCCTGAGCGGGCCTTCCACACCTTTCCCGACTGTAAAGGAGGGTTTACGGCAGAGGGAAATGGCCAGTGGGGCTGGTTGTGACAGCAGATGCCCATCAGGTGCTGGAGGACGGCCGCCAGTGGTGGAAGCTGAGAAACCGCAGCGGGCAGGCAGGCTACGTGCCCTGCAACATCCTGAATGAGATTGGACCAGAAGAGGCCAGTGCCCCCCTTGAGCAGGTGAGAAGGAGGCTGCAGAGCCACCCTCCCAGGAAGTCTGGCCCCACCAGGGCCTAACTGCAGGGGTCCCAGGGTGAGGGGCAGCCTGGCCAACACCCCTCCGCGGGGGAAGGGGGCGGGGTGGGCTGGCCTGACTTGATCCTTACTTCCACCCACCCTACAGACTGGTCCGAAGTACTGGAGTCCTGTCAGCCCCACCCACAAGGTACCCCCAAGCTTTGGTGGGAACAAAGAAGGTGAGCATGACTTCTGACCCGAGGGCCAGTGCCACCAGACCACGGACACTGGCGCCAGGCCAGCCAGGGAGAGACAGGGAGGGGATGAGAGGAACTGGGACAGGGTCCCAGCTAGCGGTGGCGGGCAAGAACCTCGGGCACCAGGGGTCAGGGAGCGACTTGCAGGCTGCACCCTTGCCCCATTCAGAGCTGCTTCAGCACATGGACGAGGTGAACGACGAGCTCATCAAGAAAATCAGCCACATCAAGGCACAGCCACAGCGCCACTTCCGCGTGGAGCGCAGCCACCCAGTGCACCTGCCGCTCACCTTCGAGTCAGGCCCGGATCAGGTCCGCGCGTGGCTGGAAGCCAAGGCCTTCAGCCCGCGGTGAGCAGGGGCGGGGAAAGTGAGGGGTCCCGGTTGGTGTGGGTGGGTGCAGGTACTGGGCCGGAGGTGGGGTTAGGGGAAGGAAAGGGGACTGCTGGGGCACAGGCCAGGGAGAGGGCTGGGGGTTGGGGCGGGCGTGGGGGCCGCAGGGCACTCACCTCCGCCCCGCCCCGCCCAGCATCGTGGACCACCTAGGCATCCTGACTGGAGCCCAGCTCTTCTCGCTCAACAAAGAGGAGCTCAAGAAGGTGTGCGGGGAGGAGGGCATCCGCGTGTACAGCCAGCTGACCGTGCAGAAGGCCTTCCTGGAGGTGAGTGTGCACTGCCCCATGGGGAGCGCGTCCAGCGTGACCGCAGCCCCAGCTGAGGCTGCCTCTCCTCTCCCGAGAAGCAGCAGAGCGGGTCAGAGCTGGAAGAACTCATGAGCAGGTTCCAGAGGAGGGTGGACAGCTAGGCCCGCGGCCAGGCGCTCAGAAAGCACCCCAGCAGGGCTCGGACTGCCTCAGCCCCAGACCGTGGAGCAGGACTTTTAAAAGTGCACGTGTTTTGTACCGAGGATATGGATGGGGTGGAGTACTGGATGGACCTGGCACCTGGCTGGGGCTGTCTCACTGACCTTCCCTCAGGCCAGTGATGCCCAGCTGGTGGTGATACTGTCTCTCAGCCCCAGCCCCTCCAGCGGCCCCCTCACCTGCCCACACACAGGCCCACCTCAGCTGAACCCCCCATCTCGAGATGCCACACCACTCCCCTCCCTCCCTCCTCTTCTCTGCCCCTCCCCGCATCCTGGTCCCCTCTCCACCCTCCCCATACATCTACCTGGAGCCACAAAACACCCTGGAGGGCTGATAGTGCCCCTGACTCCTGACATGGCACCATGGTCCCCAGCTGCTCCTCACTGCACCCACTTATACCCAGTTGCACTCCTACAACCCCAGACAGCTGTGGTCACGAGGGGGCCACCTCAGCCCCTTCCTGAGTGGACACACAGCTCCCATGGGGCTGGTAGGGTGACTGGAAGGGCTCCAAGACCAGAAGACGTGTAGGGAGGGCATGGAAACACAACTAGCCCTGATACTGGCTTAACACCCATCCTCCAGACAACTCTTCCAAACACTTCAGTGAGTCTTGGGGTCCAGATGCCGAAGGTCCTGCCCAGACAGAGGAGCTGACTCCAGCTCCAAGGCCTAGTGTCAATAAAACTACCGAGTCTCCCAGCAGCCTCGAGTCTCTGTCCTGGGGTCAGGGATTTACAGTCTGCGGGCCCCCTGGGGATGGTGTCTTGGCAAGGGATGTGGGGTTGAGACCAGAGAGCTGGGCACCTCCACATGGACCCTCAATCCTGACCCCAGAGGAGCGAGCCCCAGAGAACCTGTACCTCTGGCAGGGAGGAGCCTCCGTGGGAGCAGAAGCCAGGTCAAGGAGAGCCAGCTCAGGCTTGGGTGTGTGGCAGAGGTGTGGCCGAAACCAAGTGCAAGGAGCTTAGCCGCAGTTGGAGAGGTGCCCAAGGGAGGGCGTGGGGAGTGGGGTCAGCTGGGTGGTGTCATTGCAGGAGTGGTCAGAGGGTCACATTCCACACCTGGAGCAGGTACCTGGCCACCAGAGCACTCCTGTGCCAACCTTGGAAGCAGACTTTGGCGTCCTCTGCTGGCAGCTGTGTGAGCTTTGGTGACTGGTCACACCTCACAGGGCTTGGGGTAAACTTAATCTGTGCCCAGAATGGAGAGTAGACACAATAGTGGGGCACCGTGCTGGAGGGACATTGAGCCCTGGGGTCTCCAGGGTCAGCAGGAGTGGGCACAGGGAACCAAGCCCAAGAAGGTGCTTGTGACTGGTGGAGTGATACAATTCGCCAGGCTGATCCCCCACACACACACACACACCAGGGTGGCCCTGCAGCCAGTGAGACTTGGGCAGTCTGCCCTGGGGCTAGATGCCAGTGGAGGTGAGCTGGTGTCTGGGACCTGGTCTGGCAAACCAGTATGTAGCTACCATCCCCGCAGTCCAGTCAGAGGGGGGGTTTACACTGCTGCCAAGCTCTTGGGGAGCCAGGCCCCCTCCTGTTTCTGCAGATGGGTAGACAAGCTGAAACAGAAGAAACAGAGGTACTGGCCCATTACCCCCTCCCCTCACTACCAGCTAGCCCAGCAGGGTCCTGTCATGGCCCACCTTCCATTCTGAAGCCCCCCTGGGCCAAGTCCTGACTGGCTGTCACCTGCAAGAAAAGTTTGCCATGGAAGCCAGGTGCTCACCAACTCAGCCACAGTGGAATTGGGACACACCAACCTCTCCCCATCCTGCCCTGTCCTGTCTCTGTCCACATGCTCTTCTGGGCAGCCCCACAAGCTTCCACCCCCAGGGCCCACTGGCTCCAAAGAGTCCTGCCCCCTCCCTGTCTGCTCCGGCCTCTGTGCCTGGGAAGGTGCTCCATTGCCCCCAAAGGGCTTCCCAAGAGCAGGTAGACAGATGTCCCATCTGCATGGGAGGAGGTGGGTGCAAGGTCACAATCTGCCAAGGTCAGAGCCTCAGGCATGAGAGGTTACCCGGTGGGGGCTCAGAGACCTGGACCCCATCTGAGGATCAGAGCTGGATGTGAGTGGCCGGGGTCAGCTTAGTTTCCCCTGGTTTACCAGGCGTGTCCTCAGCCCCTCACCCAAGGTCCCTCTCACATACACGCAGGCCAGGGGGAGAGGCAGATAAGCAGTACTGGACTCTGGGGGCATCTGGCCATCATAGGGCAGGTTCCCACAGCGGGAGGTGGAGACGGCAGTTTGGAGCTTGCTGAACCACCTAAGCTGCAGACCCCAGACCTCTGGAGGGTGGTCCTGACGGACCTGTGGGTCAGCAGCCACTACGTGGCACCCCAGCTGTGTCTTGAGGAGGATTCCAGGAACAAGCCACATCTCTGGCTTAGAAACAAGAGCGTCTTTCAGGCTGCGCCCCCAACCCCGAAGTGGGCTGCAGTGCCCTGCCCACACTGCTGGCCTCAGCCCCGCCCTGCTCGGGCCGCCCAGTGACCAGGCTGTCCCTCAGTAAGCAGCGCCCCTTCCTGCTGAGAACACTTAGAGTGAAAGCTGCAGAGCTTCCATCGTTCATGCTGCCTGGGCTTTGTAACATTCTTTACAGTCTTCACCAACAGCACTTGCCACCTTCCTGCCTGTGATTCCTGCTTTCACCCATCCTTCTATCTGAGCCCTTCCTGATTCCTATATTTCCTCTCAGTAAATCCTTCTGATTGTCTTGGAATTTATTTTCAAATTATTTTTTGTGATTTGAGTGAAGGTTTACAATGCAAATTCATTGTCCTTTAATCACTCACAGACGTTTTGTTCATAATTTCAATACCCACAGTGTAATTGCACTTTCCCCACCTCATCCTGTAATTCTGGCTTCCACTCATCCTGAACCTCTCTGCACCTCCCTGCCCTTTGGTGGCCTCGTGCTGACCATGCCCCCACTGGCTACTGCCATCCCTTCACTGCCATTCCTGTCTTGTGTGGCTGTTATTACTGGTGTTTTACAATCTTGTCAAATGTTCAGCTGAAAGTTGACCCACAGGCCAAGTTTTGTTGCAGGCACAAAGAGTTGGTTTTCTTCATTTGTTTAAGCAATGTGTTAAAGAATTCTGTTTCCCAGAAGCGGTCCGGTGAGAGTTGCACTGCAACCCCCCAGCTCTGTGGGGGAAGATGGACAATCTCGCCCACGTCCTGAGAACCCGCTGGCGTTTGCGTGTGGGCTGAGTTGGGCTCTGGATCCTGGTGTGCAGGGGCCTGAGCTGAGAAGCCTGCACTTCTAGCATTGTGACTCTGCCAGATACCCTCAGGAGAAGATGGATTTACAGCCCCAGACACCTGACGGGGTCAGCATGTGACAGAACCAATCAAGAACAGTTTGTTTCCCCATGAGATGTTCTTGACCTTGGAACCAACACCCTGGCCATAGCCTGGGGTGGCCGGGGGAAGAGCCAGGGACAGAGCTGGCCAGTGGCCTGGACACGCAGAGCTGGGAACAGGGACATGGCACTCCAGGGAAGGACTGGGGAGGCAGTCTGAGAGGACAGGCTCCGAGTTTGGAAACTTGAAGTGGGCCCAGTGAGTGGGACTGAGCTCCCACAGACACAGCAGAACAAGGTGGGAGCTGCTGGCAGAGAGCCCCCCACAAACTCGGGTGGAGTGGGCATGAACCTCACCCAGGTGGAAGCTGCTAGCCAGTGACAGGAGCTGCCAGGGCCTGTGATGGACATCAAACAGGCCACACTCTAGCAGCACCCTCAGTCAGGGCCGTGGGTGGCCAAAGACTCCTTGGGGCCGAGAGCCCTAAGCAATGCTCATGGCCACATGGGGAGGTTCTGCATTCCCTACGTGGGCATCCTCATGGAAGGCTCTGTGTCCCTCTGACACCTTCAACCTAAATGCAGGACCCCTTGTGTCCAAGGGAGCACTGGCCCGTATTGGGGCCTGTGGTGACATTTGAGCTTCCAGATGGCAATTGCTGGCCCCCAGGAGAATGAGGCACCAGTTGTCAGTGTGACGCTCACGAAGGTGAAGGCCATTTCTCATGGAAATTGGCGTTTTGCATGTTGACTGCAGGACCCCGAGCGCTCTGCATTGTTGAGGAAGCTGGTGAAGGTGGCTGTGGGCACAGCGGGCTCTAGGATGAAGCCTCTGGAGCTGCCACACCAGATGCCCACAGAGCAGACAGTTCAAGACAACAGAAACATGTTCCTCACATCTGGAGGCCAGAGTCTGAAGCCCTGAGGACAGCAGTTCTGGCTGTGGCTACAGCCTTGGACTCGCCCGCCACATGGCTCTTCTCTGATCAGCAATAAACCAGGAGCCACGAGCCCACCCCTGACAAGGTGTGGGAGTGGAGCTGTAGTTTGTGGCGCTCACTGGCTGGTTCCCCAGAAGTGGGTTCTAGGCCTTCCCACCGAGGTGTCTCAGCATGAACATGAACCACCAGCCTTTGGGTTCAGCACCAAGCGTAACAACTTGCATTACCAGGCACCCCCTCTTCTGAGAGGACTTCCCCAGGCTGGCCTGGTCTCACTGTGAGGTGCCACCTGAGAGTCCTGTGTCCAGGCAAGGCCCCATGCCAAAGCTCCAGGGGACTCTCCACCTTATTCAGCATGAAGAAGGTGGTTGAAGGGAAGTCTTTTCACATGGAAAAAGCCAGGCCTGCCAGTCCCACAGACGGGAGAGTCCTCAAGACTCCGGCCCTTGGTCACCCTCAAACTGGGCCCAAAACTCGAGCTTGTGGCCCAGCTTTAAGCAGATGTTGTGGTTACTGTTAGGTACCTTCAAGTCATTAGCAGTGCCCAGCACCCCTGTGCACGCAGCCCTGCCCGTCCTGTCCTCGGATCTGTCACACTCAAGCCCACTGTCACAGTCACTGCGTCATCGTCTTGTGGAGAATCTGGACAGATCTACGTGTCCAATAACATGAAAAGGAAAG